AATACAGCAATATCCCACATTTCATAAAGTTCCCTGTTCCGTCTCGGAGAGTGTGTTTATAACATAATTTTATTCTAAGGCTTACACTTTTGCCAGACCTAACGGTCTATTTTATATTTTATACCGCGACTGCAATTCCGGAGGTTCGATGTGCCTCAACGCCGTTCTAGCGGATTAAGCGTACAAAGGTAAAGCAAAATTAGGTATTTTACTAGAAACCAGACGCGACAGATGGGACCCACTTGTGACAGACCCAACAAGCGACGGACGGACGACACTTATAAATCACGTCATCGACCATCAGAAATCGGCTCCTTGACAGTTTCCTACTCCTTAGCCAAAGGTCCTTATGTCACACCCTCTGTCCAATTAAAACTCTTTACCTTTCCACCACCAACATCTATTTTACCCAATCAGAACTAAACTAGACAAAACTCCGGACCGAACACGACGAGACAGGACATACAGCAAAATCGACGAGTCAGTTCGTTTTCGGCACCAATCCTTCGAACATCTAAATTGCTCATACAAACGCGTGTTCGAAACGATACTCCGTTAACGTCCCAATATAACTATTCTACACTTTTCACTAAATAAACACTCTCTTTGACCACACACATTTTGGATCCTTATTATTTCAACTAGTCACGCAATATTAAATTGGCGCGTGATAAGCGTTCTTGGATATCGTGGGACGCTACATTCCCTTAAAAACATTTTTACTTTTAGTATTGAAACATTGATAGCATTAAATGAAGCACTTTCAAAATATATGACTTTAATACATTTTGCAATAAAATGACAAGATATCTCTGAATTTTTAGTGTTTTTCAAAAAGAATATATTAAATAAAAATTTTGCATTATTTGTAGAACTATAACAAATATCAACAATTGTGTACATTGCTCTTTAGAGTTTATCATATGAAAACAGAGTGTGATAAATTGATAAGACAATTAATATAAAAATCAGTTGCAAAGAGTTAGTTGAAGGAGTAATTTCGAGTAGTACATAAATTATTTATTTATCAATACTTAGTAATGTATATTAAAGACAGTGAAATTAATAATCATAAAATGTTGGTTTATACACTTTAAAATGATATATAATATGAGATTATAATTTTAAAATATTTAAATTTGATAGGGGGAATTTAGGGATTTAATTTTTCCGCATTTTTGAATAAATTTTGTTTCAATATATTTAAATATGTGTATTTGTCCATAATATCATTTATAAAAATTAATTCGCCAACCACAGATGCTGCCATAGAACCCCACACCATAACTCCACCACCTCTATGCTTTACACTCGATTGTAAATTTCGTAGATCCAATTCAGTATTTGGCTTCCTCCAAACTAATATTCTACCATCTGATTTAAATATGTTAAATTTGCTTTCATCTGAAAACAGTATGTTACTACAAAATGTTGAATCCTTCGTTATAAATTCTTTGGCAAATTTAACCCTCATCTTTCGACTTTTTCCCAATATGTATGACTTCCTTCGCACAATACACGCAGAATATCCAGTAGTTTTTAATACCCTTTGCACAGTTTTCGAACTTACTTCTTTTTGTCACTCTTTATTTAATATCATTCTGAGTTCCGAAGAGTTTAATTTAGGATTTTTCTTCACTTCGTTTACAATTTTACGTTTTTCTCTAACAGATAACTTGTGAGGACGACCACATCAAATCTCACTATCAAAATCTGATTGATTTATAAATCGTTTTAAATTCGTTACAAATATAAGTACATATTTTTCAATTATGAATAACTTCCAACAAATTAATTATATAATGAAACTTGTAATTTACTTGAAATATAAACTATATACATAATTTAATAAATTTAATAATTAAAGCACCTATTGACTTATTGACTTGTGACTTAAATTTTTTACTTTTTATAAATTTGTAATATACTATATTTATTATTAAAGTTTATGTTGATCACATAAATAGTATAAATTAAAGCTGACAATTGGTTACGTATTTAGATTTATTCAGGAAGGATAAAATAAATATATTAAAATAAAATAACCTGAAATTAATTAGCAAAATATTTATATTTTAAGAATATATTATAAATTATTATTGGTTTATACATGAATGTGATTATGTATGTATATATATTTTATATTTTAAACACAAAAATCAAGATTTTTATAAGATTTTATTTCCTAACACATTTTGTCTCTGCATTTGTACATTTTATTTTTATGTAAATTAATTGCAAGATACTTGAAAATAATTTTAACTCTACAATCAGTCTTATGAATAAGAAATGTTTATATAATAATACTTATGAGCTACTTAATTCTTTCTGAATTTCTTCCAATGATTTTCCTTTTGTTTCGGGAACTAATAAATATACAAAACAGATTCCAATAGCACAAAATACAGCAAATAACCAAAATGTACCATCAAGATTAATTACTTCTGTAAGATCACTAAAAAACTTTGTGACAATGAAAACCAGTATCCAGTTAAAGAGGCAAGCACTACTTGCAGCTATACCTTTAATTTCTGGTGCAAAAATTTCACCCATCATCATCCATGGAAGTGGGCCAAAACCAATATTAAACAAAATAATGAAAATACATACAGATGCTAATGGTAACCATGTAATTGAACTAACATTTACTTCAATTCTTAAAAGATAAAAGTAGATTCCAAGGGCAAAAGTTGTTAAACACAAAAATGTTATAGATGCTAATAACAGTATTCTCCTACCTATGCGATCTACAATTAATGTACTTACAAAGACAGCTAATACTTGCATTACACCTACAATAATAGTAGAATAATTAGAATTTAAAACGCTCCCAGCCTGTTCAAAAATACTACTAATGTAGAAAATAACAACATTAACACCACTTAATTGTTGAAAAAACATAAGACCATAAGCAATTATAAATCCTTTCAAAGTTGCTTTAGACCTGATTGAAGTGCAAAAAGAAACTGTATTTTTATTGTTTTCTTCCAATGTATCTTTTTGATTTTGTAATTCATTTTCTATATTATATCGAGCACCACGCAACCTGATTAAACTTTTTCCAGCAGAGTCTTCATCGCCCTTTTTTAAATAATATATAGGTGATTCTGGCATGAACATAAAAATTACAAAAAAAATAATGGGTGTAGTAGCAGATACAATTGATACTACAAGCATATTACAGAAAGTTCCTAAAATATATGATAATAGAATGCCTACGGTAAGAAGTAATTGATAGAAAGATCCAAGAGTACCACGAACATTCTTTTCAGCTATTTCTGCAGTATATATTGGTACTACCACACCGAAAGCCCCACCACTGAGACCAGTGATGAATCTACCAATATAAAACATGACTACAGAATTTGCAAAAATTATAAGTAACCAACCTATGGTAAAAGGTATCACCATTAAAAGCATTGAATACTTTCTTCCTATCCTGTCAGCAAGAATTCCAATAGGAATACATATCACTGCT